TAAGTCACTGGGCTCTGAGCTAAGCAAGAAATGATAAAGCCCACTTTTCCTTTTATTAGAGAAGAGGCAGCAAATAAGCATTTATATAGTGACTCAGTCTCTGAACTCAGCTCTTCTGGGCTCCAGGCCTAGTGCAGCTATCCACCGTTTAGCTGCCTATCTGGTAGAATTTTAGCTGAGGACTCCAGCTCTGGGTAAAGTTGGGAAACAGAGATAACCTCTGCAACTTCTTCCTCAATGGAGCCACACTTAGCAATGACCATGAGATCAGAAGAGCATCACCTGGGGAAGACCAGCTGAGCTTTACCAGATAGAGATTACATAACATAGGAGAGCAGTGAAGATGAGCTCAAGCAGGAGCAGCAGCACAATGACATTGCCAAAAGACATCAGTGGCACTGAAGCTTTGGAGAGGGGACTAACCTCTCCTCCAATGTGCCTTGTCCATAAATGCTCTCTAGGGAACTCTGGGCCTAGAGTCAGGGAGACCTGAGTTCAAATCCTGCTGTAGTCATTTCCTAGCTGTGTGACCCTGGGCAAGTCACTGAACTACTTCCTGGTTCAGTTTCCTCAAATGCAAAATAAGAATCATAGTTAATCTGGGGATGTAGATGACACATTCAGAAAGAAAGGTGTCTTATGATGCTCCAGTAACAATGTGGATTACATCAGCATAAAGATTTCTTAATGTGGAAACTCCCTCTATGAATGCACATTGGCGACTTTCATAGAGTATAACTTTAGGTTAAATGACTTCATCAAGGTCACACAGCTAGTATGTATCAGATGTAGACCTTGAACTCAACTCAGCCTGACTCCAAGGACAGCTATCTTTTCTAAGTAACAATATAAGGCAATAGAAGCTAAATATGACATTTGTGGCATGGATGCTAACAATAGATTCAAGACTTCAGAGAAATCACAAGGACTCTACTAACCTAGGAAAGCTTCACAGATGTGGGACATTAGCATGAACGTCAGATAAAATTTAGGTAAGCAGAGAGGAAGGAAGAGAATTTGAACAAAGATACACAAATGAGGAAATGTGACCATTGGGTCTGTTAGGAAAGACCCAGAATTCACTACCTTACCAACAATTGTTAGTATGTTATAGAATATACAATATTCGATATTTATTTGTATAATGCTATCTACTTTTTTTTTCTCTGTGCCACTATATATTCCCTTGTCTCCAACCTTCCCTCAGGCCTCCTAGGAGTTCTACATACTCATTCTTTGTTTTTAAATCTATCCTCCCTCCGTCTAAAAATCCCTTCTGTCTCATCAAGATAAGATAGGGTATGTCAAACCTTTTGCCCTGTTGCGGAAGCTATGAAAAGAACATACTAGAATCAGGAGCATCAAACTGTTTGGACCTATTTTTCATTGCTCTCAACACAATCCATCTGCTCAAATTGAACTGTCCTATTCCTTATTCTTTAAATAGGCTGAGCATCTCTTCCTTTGTGACTTTGCACATATAATACCTGGACCTCCTGTCATACATGGGCCCCCAGAAAACTTCCCTAGATTAAAAAGCACATTGCAGATCCATCTTAATGAGCCCTGACTGGTTTCTTTTACTAGACAGAGAACACAGTTCAAAGTAAAAGATATTTAAAGAAATAGCACAGCAAAACAAATGATAAGAAAGACTCCCAATATGCAAAGGCTACCTACCATACTACAACGAATCACCAAGAAATTCTCATGAAGGCTGGAGTACCTCCTTTAGGTGCTTAATATATGTTTATTTACACATTTACATGTGAGCCGCTAATGTCCTCTGGTAATGTCATTAGCTAAGTTGCTGTTTCTAAAGAGTTGAGATCTGCCTGCTATGGTAGTGCCTCTGTTAGCCATGTCCACTCTTTGCCTCCATTCAGCTGCTCCCTACTACCATCTACTGGTATTTGATTATTTAGCCCTTCTATTTAGTCTTTTATTCTCTTCCACCATCTGCTTGAGTGTAGCAGGAGCAAGACTCAAATAAATCCAGGCATTTTTAGTCACACCCAAGCAGGTAATTAGGAAAAGCCAGCAGAAGTCCTTTGGCTTAGATTAAGTCTGGCCTGAGAATTGAGTTTTCTCCTATTGGGTTTGACCTCAATGTTCTCAGTTTCCTATATGATTTAAAGTTAGAAAATTGCTTTTAAGTCTTCTCATATTTCCCAGTCTGTATCCTGAGAATTCTGCTTATCAAAATTCCCAAATGGCATTTTGGAGGAGCTGGCAGGAGGAGATTCTCTTCAATCTCTAGTAATGTCCCCAGTTACCTTGTAAATCAGTTTGGCCTGAAAAGGCCCAGATAGAACCTGTGGAAATGTTGACCTCTGCCCTAATCCCTTTGTCTAAATTCCTGCCATCGTTGATTTCTACGCACACACTGCCCTGCCCTGGGAACTCCCTCCCCTGCTCTTTCACCTTCCTAAATAAATCAATAATTCCACCCTTCAAAGTTCAGCTTAAGTTTCACCTCCTCCGTGAAGCCTTGCTTAATGTTCCCCAGTGCAATAATTTTCTCTGACCTGTGATTTTTTTTTTTAACACTTACTCTCTAGACTATTCCCTTGGCATTTGTTTAGCAAACACTGCTTTGTATAGTGGCTTCCTATACCTGCAGGATGAAATATTGAGGTCCTCCACTAGTATAATTTTGCTGTCTATTTTTTTTCTTTTTGGTGAGGCAATTGGGGTTAAGTGACTTGCCCAGGGACACACAGCTAGTAAGTGTCAAGTGCCTGAGCTTAGGTGTCTATTTCTTCCTTTATCTCCCTTAACTTCTCCTTTAAGAAGTTGGCTGCTGTACTACTTCGTGCATATATGTTTGGTAATGATATTATTTCATTTTCTATAGTACCTTTTACCAGGATGTAGCTTCCTTCCTTATCTCTTTTAATTAGATCTATTTTTGCCCTTGCTTTATCTGAGATCAGGATTGCTACCCCTGCTTTTTTCACTTCGGCTGAAGCATAATATATTCTGCTCCAGCCTTTTACCTTTACTCTGTGTGTATCCCTCTGCTGCAGATGTGTTTCTTGTAAACAACATATGGTAGGATTGTGGTTCTTAATTCACTCTGCTCTCTGCTTCTGTTTTGTGGGAGAGTTCATCCCAGTCACATTTACAGTTATGATTACTATCTCTGTCTTCCTTTCCATCCTATCCTCCCACCTTTGTTTGTGCTTTTTTCTCTCCTTTTTCCCTTTCCCTCTTCAGTTGAGTTTTGCTTTAGACCACTGCCTCCTTCAATCTGCTCTCCCTTCTATTATCCCTCTCCCTTTTCTTTTCCCTTTACCCTTTCTACTTCCTATAGGATAAATTAGATTTCTATACTGAACTGATTATTTTATTCCCTTTTTGAACCAAATATGATGAGAGTAAAGTTCAAGCAATGCTCATCTCCCTCCCTTCTTTCCTTCTACTGTATTTGGTTTGTGTGCCTTTTCATTTGATGTAATTTATCCTTGTCTGTCTACTTCTTTCTTCTTCTCCTAGTGCAATCCCTTTTTACCACTTAGATTTCTTTTTTTTTTACCATCACATCAAAGTGAACTTGAACCCATGCCCTCTAAGTATACCCCCTTTTAAATGTCATAATGACATTACAGTTCTTGTAGGGGTGTAAACAATTTGCCTTTATTAATAACATTGATTTTTTCTTTCCTGTTTACCTTTTTGTGCCTATCTTGAGTCTTGTATTTGAAGATCAAATTTTCTGTTGAGCTCTGATTTTTTCATCAGTAAGGTCTGAAAGTCCCCTATTTTGTTAAATGTCCAGCTCCTCCACTGAAAGATTACATTCAGTTTCTCTGGGTAGTTGATCCTCAGTTGTAATCCAAGTTCCTTTGCCTTATGGAACATTATATTCTAAGCCCTCCAATCTTCTAATTGTAGAAGCTGCAGTGTCCTGCATAATCCTGACTGTGGTTCCACGATATTTACATTGTTTCTTTCTAGCTGCTTGCAGTATTTTCTCTTTGACCTGGTAATTTTAGAATTTGGCTACAATATTCCTTGGTGTTTTCAATGTGGGATCTCTTTCAGGAGGTGATTGGTGGATTCTTTCGAAGACTATTTTACCCTCTGGTTCTAGGACCTCAGGGCAGTTTTCCTTGATGATTTCTTGAAGGATGGTGTCCAGGCTCTTTTTTTCATCATGGTTTTTAGACCAATAATTTTAAAATTATCTCTCCTGGATCTATTTTCCAGGTCAGTTGTTTTACTAGTGAGGGATTTTACATTTTCTTCTATTTTTCATCCTTTTGTTTCTGTTTGACTGATTCTTGCTTTCTCATAGCTTCCACTTGCCACATTCTAATTTTTAAGGAGTTGTTTTCTTCTATTAGATTTTGTACCTCCTTTTCCATTTGGCCTGTTTTACTTTTTTAAGGAGTTCTCTTCAGTGAGTTTTTGTACCTCCTTTTCCATTTGGCTAATTCTACTTTTTTTTTTTACCCCATAAGTCAGCATTTATTATTTAAGCTGAAGAACAGGTTATGAAGGGGGTGGGGAGGGGAGCCCCAGGGGAGAGGGAAGAAGGGAGGAGACTGGGAGACGAGAGCTTCTCCTGTGTCTGCTCCAAATGAGGTTGATCCTGATTTCTGAGCCTTGGTCCAGGGCACACATGATAAGATGAGGTTCCAGGGGTTACAGGTTTAGTAAACATCAAGGGGTGGCCAAAGTTACACATTCAACCAGAGGTGAGGGCTGGGATTTTCCTTGGCTCAGCCACTTCCTTTTAGCAACTGAAGCATAGTGATAAGTTCCATCCCACTTATTTCAGCTCTTATTCTTGTAGTTAAACTCTTTGTGCTAATGGATTCTTTTTTCACCTAACTTCTTGTACTTTGCTTCTAGTTTCTTTGAATATGCATCCAACTTGTAAGCGCCTGGTCAAGAGCTGCTACTTGTTCCTCAGTTAAAGTGATCTGATCCAGATAAGGCTAAAGTGCTGCATATTTCTAGTTTAAGTCCTTTAGATTTCTAATTATGTTTACTGCAATATCTTTCATTTCTAGATACTTCAGGCTAGTCAGCTTGTTCATATTTTCCAGAAGTTTATAGTCTTCACTGATGGTTATCAGCTTGCCTGTTAGGTACATAGCCATTTTGGAGAACATGTCCTGGCACAGCCCTGTGATGTCCTCCTTGGTAGGCTCTGTGGCCTCCTCAGCTGTCTCCACCACAGCATTGTCTAGGCAGTGGAAGGGAAGAAGGAGAAAGAATGGAGGGAAGGATGGGGAAGGGGGGAAAAGAGAGAAGAGGAAAGGAGGGGAAGGGAAGGGGGGGAAGGGAAGGAAGGGGAGAAAAAGGGAAGGGTGAAGAGTCAGAGAAGGAGGTAAGGGGAGGGGCCCAATTCTACTTTTTAAGGATTTGTTTTCTACAGTTATTTTTTGTCCTTCCTTTTCCAAGCTATTGGCTCTCTCTTGCATACCTCTCATTTCTTTTCCCAATTTTTCTTCTACCTCTCTTACTTGACTTTTAAAATCCTTCTTGAGCTCTTACAAGAAGACTTTGGGCTTGAGACCAGCTCATATTCCCCTTTGAGGTCTCAGATGTGGGTATATTAACAATGTTGTTCTCTTCTGAATTTCTGCCTTGATCTTCCTTTTCCCCAAAATAAGAAACTATGGTCATTTTCCATTTTTTGTTCATGGTGTTTGCCTATATCTTGACTTAAAAAAAATTGTTGAGTTCTCCTGCTGGAGTGAAGGGGCATTTACACAAGCTTCTTTTCCTGCTCACTGGGGCATTGAATGTTTGGCTCCTGGTCACTCAAGCCTTGCATGGGGATGTTTTGATGCTGGTGGATTTCTGTCAGCCTGGAACTTTGCCTTCTGGAGTTGTGCTTCTCAGAATCGTGTTGACGTACTGTGTGATTTCACTGCTGGAGAACGCTGTTGCCTGTGGTTGTTTTTTGAGCTGATGTCTACCATTTCCCCTTCCTGTATTGAGGCTCTGGGGCAGGGCGTCTTGGTGTTGGTACTTGCCTGCTCCACCAACCTGGGTCTCAGGATCTCCCCTGGTTTTACAAAGCCAGCCCTATTGTTGTTACGAAAAACCTTGCTGCTCTGACTGGAAGATGGTTTGAGTGTATGAATTCTTTCTAGGCAGATACCCTCTGTATCCTGATATTTTGGGGTTCCCAGGAACCCCAAACCACATCATTTTGGTGGTCCCTATGAGGAACTGCCTGATCCCCTCAAGCTCTTCTTCAGTTAAAGCCAGAAGCTACATAAGCCTCCTCTCTATCCTTTTCTCTCTCTGCAGTTGGGGTCATTCTCCAAGCACCTAGGAAGGGTTGGAGGTACTTTTTACCTCTCGGTCCAGTGGTTCAAGGCTGTGGACCCAGGCACACCTTCCACCACATAGGGAACACCATATCTGGAAGTGTATATCTAATTCTCTCAATTCTCTAGGATGCTAGGGAAAGAAACTGCAGGTGCTTTGTGGGTTCCTGAGGCTTAGAGGCAAAGAAGTGGGCCAATCTTTTTTAATTCCCAAAGATTTGCCCCTGGGTTGTCTTTTAAAAAATTGGAAAAAGTACAGTTTCACTTTTGAGGAGGGACAGGGTCAAAGTGTCACCCGTGACTAAGTGTTACATCAAAAGGAGGAGTGTGCAATGAAGAAACATGGGTCAGGTGGGTCGGTAAAAGACTGAGCCATTCATTTATTATTCTGAGGGTCTGGGTTATATAGTGAAAGCTAACAATCATCCCTGAGGCATTCCCACCATTCTTATGTGACTAATCCCAGCCCTTATGCACATCCTTAATTGTTCATACCTGCTTGCCATCAAGGTTCAAGGGGCAGAGTATTCTAATACCTTCCAGGCACGGGAAATTGGTGAGCCAAATATTCTGAATAATTAAGCCCTTATGGGTAGGGAAAGGAAAGAGTCAAGGTCTAACCTAAATTACTTATCCCATATTAGACTCTTCAGCTCTGGCCCTCAACACAAAGGAGAGAATAGAATAAATGGGCAGATAGGATAAAGGGAAATACAGTTAGTTTTTCACAACATGACTATTATGGAAGTGTTCTGCATTACTATATATGTATAACCAATTGCTTGCCTTCTCAATGACAGTGGGTGGAGAGGGAGGAAGAGAGAGAATTTGGAACCCAAAGTTTTAAAAACAATGTTAGAAATTGTTTTTACATGCAACTGGGAAATAAGATACAGGCAATGGGGTATAGAAATCTATCCAGTCCTATAGGAAAATAGAAGGGGAAAGGGATAAGGGGGGGGGTACAAGGGAAGGCAGATTGGGGAAAAGGGTATTCAGAATGCATGCCATCTTGGGGTAAGGGCAGGGAAGAAATGGGGAGAAAATTTGGAACTCAAAATCTTGTGGAAGTGAATGTTGAAAACTAAAAATAAATAAATTAATAATAATAAAAAAAGAAAATGAAGGAGAAACAGCAACATATGATCACTCATTTCCTGTGAAATAAATCATGAAATGGGTGTCAGTCATGTGTCAACTTGTGGTGTGATTACTGCTCTTCTTTGATAAGCTAATCATGGAATGACATGGAATAACCTAATCTCAGAAGACTGGATTGGCCTATTATCTGTTATTGATGCTCTCAGCTGTTCCTTGGTGCCTTCTCCTTGCCCTGAAGCAAAATCTATGGAGGGTACCTTCACACCAAATGTTGTACACACTGTATCCCTGACATCCTACTGGATGGAAGAAATAACTGCGAGGGTTATATTTTTCCATTTTTTTCAAGCAGGTGGAAACAAAACATGGTTCCCAGACCAAACAACAACAAAACAAAACCCGTCAAAATGGAAAAAGTACGGTTTCTCTTGAGACCTCAAAAAGAAATGACTTGTATTCTTTTGCAATGCAAATTGGCTTCAGTATTACTTGGAGGACCAGGAAACATGGCCTGTTTTTGGGTCTTTGCAATACAATACTTTCTCACAGTTAGATTTATACTGCTGCTGAGAAGGGAACTACACAAAAGTCCAGTATATCCAGGCCTTTATGGCCCTCTCACAAGATTCCACTTTCCAGCAAAATTGTAAGATGCTTATAGCAAGATTCACTCCACAAAATGAGAATGGGAACCAACTCAATATCTTAGGTGATCCCCTTGTTATGGCCCCCAGTGCTTTGGCTCCTAGGTCATCTATGCCACTTCTTTCTCCTCCTTCCAGCCCCTGCTTCCCCTGCCCCTTTTTCTGTTTTCCCCACTCCTTCCCCCGCCCCTCCCCTTGTGGCTCCTGACTTCCCCTTCCCTTCTCCCCTGCCCCCTCCTGCTGAATCCTCTCCCGCCCCCCCCCCTTTTCTCCACCCCTCCTATTGCTGCTTTGGCTGTTTCTCCCATCCTCCTTCTCCCCTCCTCTGGTGCCAACTGACTCTTACCAGGAACCTCACAGCTTCTGACACGAGGATCCTTCCATCTACCTGCTTGATTCTCCTTCCCTGATAGTTTCTTGGGGCAACCCAATTTCCCAGCTGTCCCCACTCCCATGTCTGCCAGATCGTCCTTCTAACCCAGCCTTGCAGCCAAACCCTGTTCCCCAATGACCCATACCCCCTAGCCCCTCCTTCACAAGGAATGGGACCTCTTATCTCTCTTCCTCCCAAGCCCCCAATTCCACTATGCCTTCAAACCTTTTCCCTCTAGCTGCCTTGCCCAGTGGGATGATTAAAGTGCATCCTCCATTCTCAATGTCTGACTTCTCTCAGGTTAAAGAAAAACTGGGTTGGTACTCTGAGGATCCCACCAAGTTTACAGAGGGCTTTAGGGATGTCTCCCTTCAGTTTGAGCTTCCTCCATATCCTCTTCTCCACCTGTTGTACCAATGAGAAGAAGAGAATCTAGGAACAGGCTCAGAAGTTTAGGGATGGTTTCACTAGATCTTACCCCACTGCATACCCTCAGGGAGTGACTGCTGTCCCCACTAATGATCCAGATGGGATTATCAAAATAATGAGGATAGGAAAAAGAGAAACTATATAGTGATCTGCCTGTTAGAAGGCTTGAAAAATGGGATTCAAAAGAGATCAGTCAGGGAGAAGATGAAAACTCTGCCCTTTTTCAGGGCTGGCTGGTGGAAGCTAACAGGAATTATACCATTCTAGACCCCAACTCTACAGAGAAGGCAGCCATTCTTGTCATGTACTTCATTAGTCAGTCTGCCCCAGATATTCAGAGTAGCCTGCAGAAATTGGCATTGGGACCCCTAACATCTCAGGCCCTATTAATAGAGACAGCCTTTGGAGTCTTTAACAAGAGACCCAGCTGTAGCAGAGGAGAAAACACAGAACTAGGGCTAAAAACAGAGAACAGGCTCAACTCTTGGGTGGCTGTTTATGGCCAGGAAAAAACCCAATGGTGCCCCTGGTGACTCAGGCAGTGGGGAAATCTGCTTTTGTTGCCACAAGGAGGGCCCCTGGTCCAATGAGTGCCCTTCCAGGGTGCCCCTCCCCCCCAGAGGAAGCCTCCGGGACCAAAGCCTCAGGGACCATGCCCAAAATGAAACCAGGAGGGACATTGGAGGAAGGATTGTCAACGAGGTAGGAAGGGTGGTGGAACTGCCTCTTAGTAACCTGTCCTCCAGTTTTCTCAAGACTCAGAATGCCAGGAAAGCCTGGGACTCAGCCGCGCTCCAACCGTCTCCATCTATCTGGTTGAGCCCTGGGCAACAATTGATGTTATAGATACAGGAGCTATTTTCTCTGTGCTAACCCAATGCTGTGGTCCTATCCAACCCTCTACCCAGTGGTTCCTGGTCATTGAAGGGGAAATTAAGGGTTGTAGAGAGACATACTCACTCCCTTATCTGTTAGAGGATCTGTTGTTTAACCACTCCTTCCTTATCCTCTCCTCTTGTCCTGCCCCCTTGTTGGGAAGGGATCTGATGGTGAAATTGGGCAGTCAATTTTCTCTAGTTAAGCCTCTCATCTCCCTTTTCAGGATATCAGACTTTCCTATGTTCCCCCCAGAAGTGTGGGAGACAGTTGAGCCAGTTATTTGGGATCAGGGAATTCCTAGGTGAGCTACTCATGCCATCCCAGCCATTGTTCACCTCTGAGATCCTGATGTGTTCCTCCATTGTCACCAATGTCCAATGAAGCCTGAGGCCTGGAAGGGACTGCAACCACTGATTGAAAAATTTTTTCAGTATGAAATCCTGGTCCCTTACCAGTCCCCATGCAATTCCCTTACCCTTCCTGTGAAAAAAGCCTAATAGGGAGTATTGCATGATTCAAGATCTTAGGGCTGTTAATGAGGCTGTTATTCCTATCCATCCCATAGTCACTCAGATCCCTGGGGGTACCCAATGATTTTCCGCCCTGTATCTCAAAGATGCCCTTTTCTATATAGCCCTTCATTCAGACTCATAGTCTTATTTTTGCCTTTGAATGGAACTCCCTGGGAAATCAAATCCATGCCAACTAACATGGACAGTTTTGCCCCAGGGTTTTTGGGCTAGCTTCTATCTGCTTGGCCAGGGGATCGTGGGAAAAGATTTAAGGGAACTGGAACTATCAGAGAGTAGCTTAATTCAGAATGTGGATGATATTCTTATTTGTAGCCCCACTTAGGAGGCTTCTCTGGCTGCTGCCACAAGAGCTCTTAATTTCTTGGGTGCCCAAGGTTACAGGGCCTCTCTGAACAAAGTCCAAATAGCACATCAAGCTATAAAGTATCTGGGTCATGAACCAAAACCCACCTCTCGCTCCTTAACTTCAGAGAGGAAAAGAATAATCCTGTCTATTCCTATTCCAGCCACTAAAAATAACTCCATACTTTTCTAGGCATGGCTGGATTTTCTAGACTCTGGATCTGTAATTCGGTCTATTGCTTGAGCCTCTTTATGACTCTACTCAAGGCCCTGACTCACTCCCTCTAGAGTGGGGTCCCAACTAGGCTAAGGCTTTTGAGACTCTGAAAACTAAGTTGACCACCACTCCCGCATTAGCTCTACCCAATCTAGACAAACCTTTCACTCCATATGTTGATGAAAATAGAGGACAGGCTTTTGGAGTTCTAACCCAGTCCTTAGGATCTGACCCCAAGTTGGTTGTCTATTTCTCAAAACACTTAGACTCTGTGGCTGCAAGGACTGCAACAGCTGTTCTAATTGAGGAAGGCTCTAAACTGACTCCCCACCAAGTTCAGAGTATCCTGAAAGCAAAAGGTCATCAATGGCTGGCTAGCATCAGACTCACCAAATATCAAGCCTTGCTTTTAGATACCCCTGACCTAGGTGTGCCACACACTCAACCTAGCAACCCTCCTCCCAGACAGGACCAACTCAGATGCCTGGTTCATGATTGTGAGGAGACCTTGGACTCAGTTTATGCCAGTTGATCTGATCTTAAAGATATTCCTCTCCCTAACCCAGAGGCAGGGTGGTACATGGATAGGTCTAGCTTTGTTGAACAAGGGGTAAGGAAAGCTGGGAGTAGTCAGCCTCCACCACACCACAGAGGCCAAACTTCTGCCCTCTAGGACCTCTGCCCAGAAGGCAGAATTAATAGCACTCGACAGAGGCCTAGAGCTAGGGGGAAAATAATAGAGTAAATGTCTTTACTAACTCAGAATATGCCTTCTATGTTCTACGTGCCCATGGAGCTATCTGGAAAGAATGGGGATATTTGACAGCAAAGAATTCCCATATCAAACATGCATAGGAGATGTTACATCTCCTCCAAGCTGTTCAGAAAGCCATCTGAGATAGCTGTTATATTTTGCAAAGGCCACCAGAAAGGGGAAATGGATTAAGCCATGGGAAATCACTTGGCGGACACTGCAGCAAAGAATGCTGCCTGCCAGCTAACTATACTGGCTCTTTAATACCCACAGCTCCCTGATTCCTTCATACCTTGCTATAGCCTCCAAGAACAGGCCTTTGATAAAGAAAGGAGATTCTCTCTCTCTCTCGGTGGTTTCAGGCACCCTCAGACCAACTTCTTATCCTAGAGGAAAGCCAGTGGAAGCTTCTTTTTGGCTTATACCAGGCCACACACCTGGGGATGAATGCCCTCTGGTCTCTGATAAAGCCTGTTTTTACTGGCAATGAGCTAAGAGAAACCATCCAGCAAGTCTGTCAGGCTTGCCCAATTGGTGTGAAGGTAAATCCTAAAGGGGCAGTTAGACCTCCCCTGCTTTTAAAACCTGTTCAGAAGAGGGGTACCTACCCAACTGAAGACTGGCAGACAGATTTTACATATATGCCCCCATGCAGGGGTTTCAAATTATTTTTGGTTTTTGTTGACATCTTTACTAATTGGGTAGAAGCCTCTTCTTGCAGAACTGAAAAGGCTCAAGAGGTGTCAAAGTTCCTGTTAAAAGGGACATTATATCTTGATTTGGCTTACTTAACTTCTTACAGAGTGACAATGGCCTAGCCTTGAGGCTAAAGACACTTAAAATCACTTATCACCTGTACTCTGCCTGGCATCCTCAGTCCTCTGGAAAAGTAGAGTCAGTGAATCACACCCTGAAGCTAGTCCTTACTAAGCTGTGCATAGAGACCCAAGAGGGCTGGATAAAAAAAAAAAACCACCTAAAAAATATCCTGATCAGACTGCTCAGAAATAGCATTACACTTCGGGAAAATATCAAGCTTAGCTCCTTTGAATTCCTGTATGGGAGGCCCTCACTAACATCTGATATCCTTCTAGACCCAGAACAACATTTGATCACCCAATCTGCAACTTACTTAGGGGCAGTCAGGAATGCCCTAATAGAATATGCCAATAAGCATCTTCCAAAAGCTCTTGGCAATGAAAAGGAGATCCTGCTCCAGTATGACCTGGAGACTGGGTTTATTTAAAGTCATGGAAAACCCAAAAGGGAGAACAATTTGATGTCAACTAGAAGGGATCCTACCAAGTCATACTTACCATCCCAATGGCAGTAAAACTCGAGGACCTCCCCAGCTGGACCCATAATTCTAGGATTAAACTGCTGTCACCCCTTACTTCCCCCTCAGAGACTCCAGAATAAACCTGTGAACTCTTGGAGGACCTCAAGCTACTGTTTAGAAGGGCCCTGGACCCTTCCAGTGGACATGTGGATAAAAAGATGTAAAACAATATGTGCCTTCCTCCTATCTTTTGGCTTTGCCATAGCCATCTTTAATTTCCTCCAGAGAAATTCCCTAGCAAAAGTGGTTTTAGATAACAGAATAGCCCTAGACTACCTGCTATTGACTAGAGAAATGCAAATTAAAACAACTCTGAGGTACCACCTCATACCTATCAGATTGACTAATATGACAGAAAAGGAAAACAACAAATGTTGGAGGGGGTATGGAAAAATCAGTACACTAAATCCCCAAAGAGCTATAAAACTGTGCATACCTATGAGAAATGATGAGTAGGATGCTTTCAGAAAAACCTGGAAAAACTTACACAAACTGATGCAAAGTAAACTGAGCAGAATCAGAACAGTGTACACAGTAACAGTAATATTATATGATGATCAGCTGTGAATGACTTAACATTTTTCTACAACACAATGAATAAAGACAATTTCAAAGGACTTATGATGAAAAAATGCTATCCACATCCAAAGAAAGAACTCATGAAGTCTGATTAAAGTAATTTTTTAAACATTTTTTTTTATTTTTCTTGGGTTTTTTTTTTTGGTCTGTGTTTTCTTGCACAACATGAGTAATATGGAAATGTTTTACATGATTCATATGTATAATCTATATCAAATTGCTTGCTTTCTCAATGAGGGGAGAGGAAAGGGAAGGAGGAACTCAAACTTTTTTTAAAGTGAATGTTAAAATTGGTTTTAACAAATAATTGGGGAAAAATATATATATTTTTAATTTTGCATACCCTTTGACCCAGCAATATTACTTCTGGGTCTGTGTCCCAAAGAAATCAAAGAAAAAAGAAAAGGACCTATAAATACAAAAATAATTATAACAACCCTTTTCATGGTAACAAACAATTGGAAATTGAGGGGATGCCCATCAATTGGGGAATGATTAAGCTATGGCATATGATTGTGATGGAATATAATTGTGCTATAAGAAATGATGGGCAGCATGGTTTCAGAAAAAAACCTGGGAAGACTTGTATGAACTGTTGCAAAGTAAAGTGAGTAGAACCAGGAGGATATTGTGCATACTAACAGCAATATTATAAGGATGATCAACTGTGGAAGACTTAGATAGTCTGATCAATGCAATCATCCAAGACAATTGCAAAGGACTTATGATGGAAAATGCTATGCACCTCCAGAGAGAGAACCGATGAAGTCTAAGGGTAGAATGAAAAGCACCTGTTTTACTTTTTTCTTTTCTTTTTTTCTTAACATGGCTAAGTTGGAGCTATGTTTTGCATTATTTCACACAAATAATTGATATCACATTGATTGCCTTCTCAATAGGTGGGGGGAGCGGTGGGAAGGAGGGAGAGAATTAAGAACTCAAAATGTTTTTAAAATGATTGTGAAAAATAAATAAAGAATAACATTAAAAAACCAACTGTTTAGCTACAAATGAGGAGCGGGAAAATGTGGGATAGTAGCTAGCATAGAAAGGTAGGAAGTGACAGTGTTATGAAGGGCTTTAAAAATCAAACAAGATTTTATATTTGATCCCATAGGTAATAGGGAGCCCCTATACAAAGCAGTGGTTGCTGAATAAATGCCAAGTGAATAGTCTAGACTAGAGAGTAAATGTTGGCTGAAATCATTGGACTGGGGAACATCAGGCAAGGCTAAGCTGAACTTTGAAGGGCGGTTTTATGGGTTTACTTAGGAAGGTGAAAGAGCAGGGGAGGGAATTCCCAGGGAAGGGCAGCGTGTGCGTAGAAATCAGTGATTTTGCTGATGGCAGGAATTTAGACAAAGGGATTAGGGCAGAGCTCCTCCAAACTGCCATGTAGGAATTTTGATAAGCAGAATTCTCAGGATACAGACTAAATGGCCAGGGAATATGACAAGATTTAAAAGCAATTTTCTAACCCTAAATCATACAGGAAGCTGAGAACATGGAGGTCAAACCCAACAGGAGAAAACCCAATTCTCAGGCCAGACTTAATCTAAGCCTAAGGACTTCTGCTGGCTTTTCCTAGCTACCTGCTTGGGTGTGACTGAAAATGTCTGGATTTATTTGAGTCTTGCTCCTGCAGAGGACAGGCTGCCTGACAGCTACAGTCAAGCAGGGTGGCAGAAGAGAATAGAAAATCCAAAAGGCTAAATAATCAAACACCAGCAGATGGTAGTAGAGAGCAGCTGAATGGAGGCAAAGAGTGGACATGGCTAACAGAGGCACTAACATAACAGGCAGGTCTCAACTCTTTAGAAACAGCAACTTAGCTAATGATATTACTAGAGGGTGTTAGTGGCTCACATGTAAGTAGTAACTAGTCAATAAACATGTATTAAGCACCTAAAGCAGGCACTGTAGCCTCCATGAGAATTTCTTGGGGATTTGTTGTAGTATGGTAGATAGCCTTTGCATGTTGAGGGTCTTTCTTATCATTTATTTTGCTGTGCTATTTCTTTAAATATTTTATACTTTGAATTGTGTTCTCTGGTCTAGTAAGAGAAACCAGTCACAGCTTATTTAGATGGACCCACTATGTGCTTTTTAATCTAGGAAAGTTTTTTAGTGGCCTATGTATGAGCCTCTCATAGGGATGGAGAAGAGAGGGAGAGGGAGAAAGAGGATAGAGAAAAAAAGAAAGAAAAAGAAGGAAGAGAGAGAGAGAGATGATGGAAAGAGAAATATTGGAGAGAGAGAAATACAAGAAAAGTTTAAGCAAGAAAAAGAGAAGCAGGAGAAAGAACCAGAATTGACCATCACAACTTCTCTACAAGCAGCCTCAATCAAAAACATTTGGCTCCCTTACAGGAGGTGTTTAGAACTCAGGCACAGGTGACAGAGACCCTGCTACAATTCCAGGGACCACAAATTTGCTTCTACTGCAATAAAAGGGGATCATCCTTATAATATTGCTGTTATTATATACAATGTTCTCCTGGTTCTACTCACTTTACTTTGCAACAGTTCATGTAAGTCTTCCCAGGTTTTTCTGAAACCATGCTACTCATCATTTCTTATAGCACCATTATATTCCATCACAATCATATACTACAACTTAATCACTCCCCAGTTGATGGGCATTCCTTCAATTTCCAATTGTTTGTTGCCATGAAAAGGGTTACTATAAGTATTCTTGTATTTATAGGTCCTTTTCTTTTTTCTTTGATTTCTTTGGGACACAGATACAGAATAGTATTTCTGGGTCAAATAGTTTACAAAATTTTTTTAAAAATTAATTTTTCCCAATTACTTGTTAAAACCAATTTTAAAATTCATTTTTAAAAAGTTTTAGTTCTGGGGGTGGAGCCAAAATGGTGGAGTAAAAGCAATGACTTGCTTGAGCTCTCCCCCAAACCTCTCCAAATACCTGTAAAAAATAGCTTTAAACAAATTCTAGAGCAGCAGAACCCACAAAAAGACATAGTGAAGCAAATTTCCAGCCCAAGACAACCTGGATGAGTGATTAGAAAGTTCTATTACAACCAGCTAGGAGAGGAACGCAGTTCAGTGTGGGCCACACTGGCAAAGACCTGGCTTCAGAGATCCTGGAACAGGTCTAAGGGGACTGAATAGTGGCAGCTGTGTGGTTTCCAGACTTCTCAACCCACAAACACCAAAGATATCTTAGAAGGCCAGTAGGACAGTTCTATCAACCTTGGTGAGAGAGGATCTTGGTCTGCCCCAGTCCTGTGGAGCCCTGGGGCAGTGGCTGCTTCCCAAACTCTCTGCCCACAGAGAGACAAGGGATCAAGTGGCTGATCAGAGGGGATTGCAGGGATCTTTTGCTGGTGCTGAGCAGGATTCTCTTACTTTGCCTGTGCTTGGATCTGGGTCATAGTTCTAGGTGATGGCCCTAGGGTGAGGAGGAGTGTTGGCATGGTAGAGTTTGTAGTAGGTGGAAAGGGAATCCTCTTCCCAGTTCCAAGGGAGAAAAGAATGCTTGTGGTCACCTATAGACCAGGACAAAAGCCAGGAAAGGAGTAAACCTCAATCTTGATCATACCACCTTAGGAGAACTGAAAACTTACAGGTCCCCAGAAGTATCTCTGAAAACAGCTGCACGAAACCCACAAAGCTGGGGACAGTACATTCTCCACATTGGAAGCAGACCCCTACCTTAACAAAGAGTTTATAACTCAAGTAATTGGTTGGGATCATGAGCAAACAAAGGTGTAAAAAAGACAGACCATATAATCTTTCTTTGGTAACAAAGAAGATTAAAACACACAACAAGAAAGACAACAAACTCAAAGCTCCTACATCCAAAACCTCCAAGAAAAATATGAATCAGTCCCAGGCTATGGAAGAGCTCAAAAAGGATTTTGAGAAGTGAGTAAAAGTAGAGGAAAAACTGGGGAGAGAAATGAGAGTGATGCAAGAAAATCATGAAAAACAAGTCAACAGTTTGCTAAAGGAGACCCAAAAAGATACTGAAGAAAATAACACCTTAAAAAATAGCCTAACCCAAATGGCAAAAGAGGTCCAAAAAGCCAGTGAGGAGAAGAATGCCTTCAAAAGCAGAATTGGCCAAATGGAAAAGGAAGTCCAAAAGCTCACTGAAGAAAACACTTCCTTAAAAATTAGAATGGAGCAATTGGAAGCTAGTGACTTTATGAGAAATCAAGACATTGTAAAACAAAACCAAAAGAATGAAAAAATAGAAACAACATGAAATATCTCATAGGAAAAACAACTGACCTGGAAAATAGATCCAGGAGAGATAACTTTAAAATTATTGGACTATCTGAAAGCTGTGATCAAAAAAAAGAGCCTAGACATCATCTTTCAAGAAATTATCAAGGAAAACTGCCCTGACCTTCTAGAACCAGAGGGTAAAATAGAAATGGAAAGAATCCACCAATCACCTCCTGAAAGAGATCCC